AAGTCATCCCCAGCAGAGTCACCACGCTGTCGCGCCCCCTTTTTCTCGCAAAAATCAGGTTTGTGATATTTGGGAGACAACTCGTTCCCTTTCGGGAATTTGGTTTGAATTGAAGAGTCGTCACCTAATGGTTTAAGTGCATTAGGATACTAAGAAAGGTTTGGTTTGAACAACCAGAGATAGGGCAAGGGTTTGAAATTATCCCAAGGGGAAGGTGTTAGGCACCCCTCAGGATCCACTAGTGTGGTTCCCGACCAAGCTATTGTTGTGACTTAAGTGCAAATAACACATAGGCAAATAAAGACTTCAAATAAGAGGGGATTTTCACGTAATGGTTACAAATAAACAAAAGTAAGAAAAAGGAACTAAAATGAGTCGATTTCCTTAAAAGAAATGGTTAAAAAAGATTTAAAAGAAATAAAGAAAACAAAGGGAAGGGGGGGTCCTAGGTTTATTGATAATATGGATCACCCCACACAACATCTGGTAATCACTCCTCAGTGAGGGGATATATGTGATGTTATCGCGTGGTCATCATATCCATATCTACCCTTTCCCACCCCATTAAGGTATTAAAGCGCAGAATGGTCTCGTTTACTTATTGCATGCTATTACCCTCCCCAATCCTATCAGCCCCGGAGGCACTTGGGACTACTACTCCTAAAGGGAGGATGTATTGGGCTCATCTGTAGTTTCAAAAGGTAAAATACTAAGGCGACAAACAAAATAGATATAGCAAGTTTGGGGAAATAAACAAATAAAAAGGGCTCAAACAGACCTCTTTTAAACCAAAGAAAGCACATAATGTAGCATGACTCGCACATACTGTTTAGGGTCTGATTAAACTTAAAGGATCGAGGTAGTCTGATTTATTACATTGTTTAGATAAGAAGCCCGAGTCAGGCCTGCCTGCTGGTTGTAGCATATAAAATCTGATTCAGTTTATAAACTTTCACCATATGGCTTGCCTAAGTGTAAGACGAAGACCCCTATAGGCATGATATCTAATGATTCCAGAAACAATGAAACAAATATTAATACATACAGATTTGAGAAAATCGTCTGTTATTAAAGAAAGGAAAATTTTAACAAAAGAGCATCATTGTTACTGATTTTAGACCTATAAGCGAGTGAAATGATTCAGATTCGATTAAGGCTCCTATAGGCATGCTTTCTATGTGTTGTTGATTTTGGAAACTCTTATAAACGTTGTAAAAAATGCAGAAAACTTATAGGCATGACATCTAGATGCTGAATTTCATTTAAAGCCTATGAACATGATATCTAATTGCAGTTGATTATTTAAGACCTACGAACATGTTTGCCTGATGAGGAATGCATATGCAAGATTCAGAAAGAATCTATAGGCAGGATACCTACATGATGTGCAGAAATTCAGAAATTCCTATAGGTAGGATATCTATATGTAATGCAGAAGTTCAGAAATAAACTATAGGCATGGTAACTACATGAGAATGCAAGATTCCTATAGACATGGCATCTATATAAGAATGTAGAAATTCTTATAGACATGGTATTTATATGAGAATGCAGAATTCCTATAAACATGGTATCTATATATGAAAATGCATAAATTCTTATAGACATGGTATCTAGACGCGAATGCAAGATTCCTATTGACATGGTATCTATATGAGAATGCAAAAATTCATAAACTCCTATAGGCAGGTTATCTACCCTTTTTGCATACATAGTTACCCTCCCTTTTCACTAACCATCCCCAAGAGTTTTATTACAAAATTATTACAACCTAGAAAAGGTAAAGTAAAGGAAAAATACATCAGAAATTAAAAAGTACAACCAAGGAGAGCCTGATTTAGACTTCCTGTCTGAAGTATGAAGTAAATCAACTACAAGAGATCATATTTCAAAGCCTTTCTCCTATTTGGGGTGTGTCAGAGTTCCCTAAGAGTCTCATATGAACTCTGGGCAGTGCTTACAACCAAATGTATCACGGATTAAGACATAGTGCAGTGTGAAAGGGCCAGCCCTCAAGTGTCCAAGTTCAGAGGGAGCTCGAGGTGCCAAGGCAAGGCTCCCAAGAAGGGGGCAGAACTTAGGGACTAAGAGAGAGTGCAAATGCAAAAGTAGGATTCTGAAAGGGGAAAAGGGAAAAGGGAAACAACTCACATCATTACAAATAAGGGTATAGGGGAATGGTAAGTTGCAAGAGGCAACAGAAAAGCGAGTTGAAGGGCATACCCAGCAATGGGAGATGCTGGCACACCCTCTGGCCTGTTTGCTTAGAGGTCAAGACCGCAGTGGTTCAAACTTAATTCATGGACAACAACTTACATTGCCATGCCTTAAGTCACCACTCAAAACACATAGGGGTGATAGAGGAATGACGGTTCATAACAAAACACACATAAGGAAATCAGCATACTAATTTAAGTGCTGAGATATACAGAAATAGCAGATGAACATGGATACAAAAGTAGTAATTACACATTGTTGTGGTGCTAAGAATTAAATCAGGACATACCAGTTTTCAGGGAAACAAGTAAAAAAAGGAGTAAGTCTTGTAAAACAGGCCATAGTGCAGTCAAGAAGAGAATATTATTATGAGAGAGTGTGAGTTCAGAAGGATTCTGATGTTGTAGTGTATGAAGAGGGTCGTGCCTTTTATAGTGTAAAAATCAGGTAGAAATAAGGCAAGAAAAATAGTTAAGGAACTAATTGTCAATCAATTACATAAGGCTTACCTTAATTAAGGGATTCAGATTCAAACAGGTGAAAACCATTTAAGGAAAGGAATTGAATAAACACTTTGTGTAAAGCATGCAATTGAGGGAAAATACATAAAGGTTATTTAAGGACAGGGTTTTGACAGTACACGGTTTGTGAAAATAAGGTAAGGGAGTTAATTAACATCCAGTAAATCACAAGGTCTGAGATTTGGTATGAATGAACCAAGTCAGAAAAGATGAAGAAGGGTTTTAACTTAGGCTGAGTAATAGGGAGAATCCGCAAACAATGGAAAGAAATCAATCAAGCCATATTCAGAAGGAAGTTTGCACTAATTGCAAATTTGAAAACCATTTAGAGGAAAATTCATCATATATAAGGAGCATGCGAGCATCAAAGAAGACTGTCGTGTAAATTAGTTGAAAAAAATCCAGTGTAGAAGAGTTTAGCAAAAAGGTCAGAATTATATAAAAACAAAGAAGTCCAAACTCGATTCAATAACTCGAAGAGTTAGGGGTTCTAAAATAAAACCCTAGTTCAATCAAATATATGATCAAACCTGGCAGAACCCCCAAATTTTAGGGTTTCCGCCTTGAATCAAGTACAGAGATGAGAAGACAAATGGTCGAAGCAGGCTCAGAGGTTTCAGAGAAGAACTGAAACCTCTTGTATGCTTCTATCAACAGCAAAACTCATGAGAAAGCATGATATCAAGGTAACAGGCAGAACACAGTAGAAGCACTCAAAGAAAAAATAGAGGAGAAACACTGATAGGAATAGTGATCATGCTTAAGAAGTTTTTCAGAAAAACTTAAACAGGGCTTAGTAGAAGGAAAGTAAGGAAGCTTAAGAACTTAGCAGGGAAGTACAGTAGGAGAAACATGCTGGAACATAGTAGAAGAAAAATACAAGAACATAATAGAAAAGTATATGAGAACACAGTACGGAAAACATGGAGAAGAACATACACGCATGGAGTATATAAAACACAATAAAAAACATACAAGAACGGAGTAGATAAAAACATAGGAGCACAGTAGAGGCAAATACACAAAAGAAAAGGGAAAGAAAGTCAGAGAAACACTTAAACATTTTCAGAAAACCCTAAATCGTAAAAGAAAGACTTTGAAAAGTAATTTTCGAAAGAAACATTAGGGAGATCATTTGAAAACTCAAAGAGAGCACAGATACACAACGGATCTAAAGAGATCGGAGAAAACCTCGAGGGGTTAGGGTTTCGGAAGAACCCTAGAAATGAGAAAGGCTTTGAAAAGGTCACCGATCTGAATCGGAGAGGTCAGAACCAGGCTCAAAACACCGTGGCACGCCGGAGCAAGGCCGACAATGACTCTAGAATCTTGAATCGGCAGAGGTCTGGGTGAAAATCTTCATGGTTAGGCCTTGAATCTTCAGGTATCAGTCGCGTAGGAGCAAGAGGATGTGGGTATAAGACTTCCACAACCTGAGAAGCCATGGATCCCGGTAGGTTTCAAGGTAGAAGTGATGAGAGGTGGCTAGGGTTAGAGAAGGTTCGAGAGTGTTTTGAGAGAGGGGAGAGTTTCATAGGCGGCTGGTTAGGTGAAATGATTTAGGGTTAAGGGGTGTTGGTGGATTAAAAAAGAAAAGGAGAGATTGTGGTCGTTGATCATTTTGATCAACGACCTGGATTTAATGGGGGGCCGGGCGGGTTGAACTTAATTGGATCAGGGGCGGGTAGTTTAGGAATTGGGCCAGTCCATCCGAAATTGAAATTGGGGTTAATTGGGCGGTCGATTTGGGCTAAAATTTAAATAGGCAGGGCTAGTATTAAATAGCCATTTTTTCCTTCTTTATTTTTATAAAAAATAACAAAATAATTTCTGTAAATAAATTGAAGGTACTAAATTAATTAATAATACAAAAATATTAAATTCAAAATACTGGGATCAATTTTGTAATTATAAACGCAATTAAATCTTAAAATAGGCTAAAATTGCAATTATGTGCAATTTAATTTTAAAATACTCAATAAATTTGTAAAAAATGTGCAAAAATTACCTTAGCTATATTTTGGTATACGTATGAGAATATAATAAAGGAGTTACCAAAAAATGATAATTTGGGAAATGATTATTGGTTTGTTTTTTATAAAATAAGGCGATAAATTGATTTAAAAATCTTTTAAAAATTAGAAAAATAATAAAACACTTGGACATACTTATATATGCATACATATTCTATTTTGAAAGTATTTTGCATATGAAAAATATATAGGGAAAAATTGGGTATCAACAACTGCGGCTTCACCTTAATTGCCTCATTAACCTAATTCATTCCTTTCAACTCTCTGCTACATGTGTCGTCAGATTACGCTCACCCATATATTGCAAGTTTCCATCCCTTTCTCTATTGGTAAATATTTCTTTGCTCAAAACTTTTCTGTTTTTTTCAATTTTTTGTTTTGTTCTTATACTTTAAGATTCAATTTTTCTAGTTTCTTACTAATGGGGATGAAAAATAATCTTTTATTATATACAATATCTGAGTATCTCGGTACAATCTTTGTTTTATACTCAAAGTATTGAACTTTTTAGAATTTCAGATTCTTGGGCTAAAAATAAGTAATGTTGTTTTGTTAATTTTTGGGTATGCTTCGTTAATTGGGGTTTTCGTTTACACTAATTTGGCTTCTGGGTAATTGTAGATTTATTGATATGTACTGTTTTGGACCTTTAATTGTCTGCTTACATTGTGTTATTTTTTTGGGTTAAATAGACTAATTTGGGTTCTGGGTAAGTGTATTTCGTTGGTTTTCTTGTGATTAATTGTTTGTGGGTTCTTTAAGATAGACTTTTTATTGATGACATGTTTTTTTCTTTAGATTTGTAGACATTTAAGAACTCTTTTGGACCTTTATTTTGTCTGCTTCATTTGTATTTTTCTGTTAATTATTTGTGGGGTTTTAGTTTAGGCTTGAAATTCCGACTAAATTGTTCTCTGAAGCATTACGTCGAACACTCAATTCCTTAGAAGAAAACATACTGCCTTGCTTGTTGTTGTCACTGGTAGTAGCTGGAATTATTTGTTGCAATAGTTTAGGATCATTTAGAGTTGATGAGTTCATATCAACACCCTCCTCATCTGCTAGGATTTCAAATCCGTTTGGACTGGCGATAGTTTAACATAATAGTGCAACTAAGAAGTATGGGGGTTGAGGTACAAATGGAGTGTGGAAGCTAAATGCAAGATGAAAGGGATTACCAGTTACAACATATATAGTGCACATAATGCATGAAAGTCAAGAGATTGATCCTGTATTGAAAAAACAGTATAACCATATTTCAGCCTTGGTATAAAATTCAGGAACAATGAATTTAGGGAAAAAAGACTAACCAGATGATGAATAGGCACTGTAGTCAAAGTTCCAATCGGCCATTGTTGGTCTTTAATTCTCTGCATTTGTCCGGAAGAAACTGCGACTGGTTATGGACTCTGTTGCTTGACCAAAAGTCGTTCGAATCAAGGGAAGTATTAGCGATACTCTTTTCTGGGTTGATTGTGATGGCCCCTCAGGGGTTGCACTTCAGCAATTAGCCTTTGTTTTTAAAGGTGTTTGAATATTTTTGTTTCTTAACTTCTTTACTCTTCTGAAACTTTTTTAAGTTTTTAGAATGTTGAAATAAATTGCTACCTAAACCCCCTAACTGGGATTTAAAGGACTGACTGTGTGCATTCCTATTCATGCAGTTTGAGAGTTTTTTTTGTGGATAAAAGTTTAGAGAAATATGGTGTTAGATAAGTGCTCACTGTTGTTTCTCAATAGAAGATGTATTACTTCATAAGAGATGCTTCACGACATTAAATTAGTGACAACTGAATGTATTATCACTGTGGTTAATTATAATTCGAAGAGTTTTCTATTACAAACAAATTTAAGTTTGATTTGAACTTTTAACTGATGATTCTTTTGACTGTGTGGAAATTGGGCGAAGGGGGTTAAGTTGGAGCATCACAATGTAACTCATGCTATTGTGTTACTCCTTAAAGTTCTGTATATTATGATTTTTCCCCTTTTAATACCTATTTTTTCCCTGTTGTGTCCAATAATACATGAGTTTTATTTGTATTTTTATACATGGTTTGAGAATATCTTTGTGCAAACTTATTGTTAAGATTCTGTATATTGAAGGCATATATGACTCTTAAACTTAAAGAGTGTGCTTGTGCAAAAACCTTATGGGTTTAAGCTTAGATAAGACGGCAAATTGGCTATTCAAGATCAATATCTACCTTTAAATTTTTTTCTCAATTTATATTGGGGAAAAAATATTCCAGGTTTTTCCCCTTGTACATAGATGCAAGCTTTTCCTATTTCTTCCTGTAGTTCTTTTCACTTTTTATGATATTGGCTGCCTATTTTTCAGTTCAATGAAGAATCACATTCTCCTTTTATAAAGAAGTACAATACTATTATTGATCCTGCTGAGGTACATCTTTCTTTGCCCTACCTTATTATAGGATCCAAACTTGAATTTTTCCAAACTTAGGTTATATTATTAAGAGTTTGTGTAACTTTTATATAATACAAACGGAGGACCATCGTTGTTTAGTTAGTAGAAACTAAAATAACCTATAAGTAGATAACTTCATCTAACTGACTATGTTCCAGGATGTTTAATATGGATAAACACTTCATGTAGCTTTGTTTGGCTAATTTGAATTAAACATGGGAAGTTAAAACTGAGGTCCTCTACTCTTCCTTTTCGTTTCAAGTCTGTTGAAGCATCTAATAAACTGGAACAACTGTGAGTGTTTATTAAGTGATTCTTCCAATATTGAACCTTACTCTGTGGCACAACTTTGTTATAATGAAACTTCTTTTTACTTACTACAAACTGAATTATCTATAAAAATTATAAAGTTTCATACTTGCAATTAGAAGATTGGGTCCTGTATTTAATAAAACATTTTAATCACAATACCTATACACACACACACACACACATACACACACACACACATATATATATATATAAAGTCCATCTCTAATGGCTTTTGCTTTTCTTTTACTTTGTTCTTTCAGTTATATATCCTTTCATTCTCTAGTCTTTACTTAAAATAAGTAAATGTGTTTGGGAAAGTAAAAAATTTGCTACATTTGTACCCAACCTATCTGGGAGGAAGCAATGATAATAGAAGTATTTCAAAATTCTAATTTCAATGTCAAAGTAGAATCCTATTACTTAATGGAACGAGACTTAAGGAAAAAAGTGTATATCGTCCCAATGAGATACCTGAAGTTCAATTCTATCAATTGATTGAGTATTGGGATGACGAAGATGTCCAAGTAAGATTAAACCGCACATTTCTACATTTTCTACCTATTGTTGCAGTATATGTTTTTTTTCTTTTTGATTTATTAATTAATATGCTTCTTTTATTGTTAGGCTATGTGCCAATTAAATTCTGAAAACAGGAAAAAAAAAATGAGGCATCGAATGGGACCTATTAATTTTGCAAGAGTGCGTGTGTCATTGGTAATATTTAGTCGACACTTTGTAATATGACTTTCATTTCTTTTTGTACTTTGTCGGAACACAGTGATGTTCTTTTATATCTTCTTTGGTGTAATTTGTAGGGTGCAACCAAAGAGAACAACGAGGAATCATCAAAGTCTGAAATGTTCATTACAACTCGTACAAAGAAAGGGAAGGAAGTTCATACAAATATTCAAGTTGCAATAGTAAGTCATGCTACAAGTTAAGTCTTGTTTGTATTTTCTCTCTTTACTGAATGTGTTTAAGAGAAGTTTAACAAGAAATTTAGCCAATAACCAGTTTCTACACGTAATCTTTGCTTAGAATGTAAGAACCTTCTGTTTTTAGCAAGTTTTTAGGGCATTATGAAAGGAAGAACCCTTACTCTTTTTATCATGCTTCAAGTTAAGTCTTGTTTGTATTTTCTCTCTTTATTGAATGTGGTTAAGAGAAGTTTAACAAGAAATTTAGCCAAGAACCAGTTTCTACACGTAATCTCTGGCTAGAATGTAAGAACCTTCTATTTTTAGCAAGTTTTTAGGGCATTATGAAAGGAAGAACCTTTACTCTTTTTATATTAATTTGACCTGAGTATGTCAAGAAGATTTCATGTGATATAGTTGGAAACTTATTTTCCTAATTGTATTCTTTTGTATCTTTCACCTTTTCTTTTTTGTAATTTGAATCGCATCCAAGTATCTCTTAAGAATAGACATTTGGATTTGGACATTCACGTGATTACCAGAACACTATTGCAGCATTTCATAAAAAGATATAATGTGACTGTCGAAGTTACTATAAATGGTATATATTTAATGGCGGATGGTGTTTAATTTCGATCAAGGAATTATTCCCAAAATCACACCCCAAAAAAAGAAGCCCCAACATTCATGAGTTAATTCATGAAGGCCTGAGTAATCAGTACTCTAAATATAGACTCTTGTCGAAGTGTCACATTATTCATGATGTTAGTGAATAAGATAAGTCATATGTCCAGTCCACATTACTTAGTTGTCAAAGCCAATGATTCTAAGTGCATGTCAATGCACCTTTGGTGAACTTCATCTGCAATAGCACCTAAAAGGAGTAGCATTGATGTTATTGAAAGATTGACAGCCTTGAGAAGATATTAGCAACATTTTCTTGAAAATATTTGTTGCCTTTTAACAGAATGTTATTCCTTACCTTTTTCCTACAAGTACTTAAAAAGGAAAATTGCACAGTAGCATAAAGTTTCTGTCTTCTTGCATTTCTGGTTCATAGACATAATAACCTCCTTTATAAAATGCTACTCACACTTACATTTAAAGAAGAAAACTAGCTTACCAATTATCTTATTTTTATACTCAGTTTACACCAGCAATATGTTACCAAGGAGTCGAACTCTTCCTGCTAGAATATATCATGGCGAAGTGAGTAATTACAATACAATTAAGAATTTCACTGGTTCAGATCAGTTTGAAACTTCAGTTCAGTTCAATTCAGTTTGAAACTTCTTGGCTAAATCTTAGCACCAGTTTCAAGGGAAAAAAATCAGTTTAGTTTGTTTGAAACTTCATATTAAAATGCCTACGATCCTTGTCGCTGAAAAATCTATTGAAATTCTTGGCTAAATTTTGAAGTCTGTTAAACTTTTATTTAATCTAACTTGACTTGTTGAAACTTATTTTAGTGTTAGATTTATTTTGACTTGTTAGTGATGGGTAATAATATTATTTTTGACAGTCTAAATTTCAGAATCGTCAAAGTTCCAGAGAAACAACAGATGATGCATTTAGGGTTTTTGGAAAGGATCAGCTTGGTCGGGTTAGATGCTATGATAGATCGATGACGACAAGCTCTCTGAATAAAGATAAAGAAATTACCAAGCTAAACAACAACATGCCAACGAAATAACTTCTCTGAAGGAAGAAATGAAGGAAATGATAAGAGAAGAAATGCTATGATTTTTTAGTCAATTGGTGAAAAACAACCCTGGACTGGATTTTTATGATATACAAGAGTGTGTTGGATCTAATATTCCTTCACCGGTTGATGCAAGTAGTGAACGAGCTATGAGAGGCCATAATTTACCACATTCTTCTGGCTCAACTCATGCCCCGAGTCTTGAAAAGGTACTTATATTTTACCAAGTAGTATAATGGTAGGGGTAAATTTGACCGGATAGTATAATGAAGATAAATTATAAATAATATTTAAAAGTAGATGGTATATTTGGCCCTTTTTCTTCTTATTTAATTAAGTGATTGTTGCGATTATAGAGGGAGATAGGTAAAATGTATGTTAATTCAAATTTTTGCTTCTCTTTCACTTGTATATCTTTTTTGTGTTTGATATTGTTATGCTATAGTAGTGAAATAAAATCTCATTAGCTCTTAGTAAGATATAACCAGTGCATACTATATATTTATTTCTTTCTAATTTTTAATTTCATTTTGAATGTGTAGGAAAATACGGGTGGTGCAATTAGAAATGATGGCCACAAATCAATTTGATTCATTAAAGTGAATGGTGAACACCTTTTGAACAATTGTGATGTTTATTTTTATTTTATATTGATACTATAAATATGAATACATTTGATTTTGTAGAGGTCTTTGCTAGTGAACTTCTTGAACCAGCAATACTTTATTACTATAGATAGCACGCAAAGTATGTTTCTAATTTGTTGAAGTTTATACTCAAGTATATGCATTTGAATTATTTTTATTCTGTTACTTATTATCTAAATTTAATGCTTGAGATCATAATATATATATATATATGTTGGAAATAAATGTGGATAGAATTTAATGTAAACATATATAATTTTTAACCACAAAATTGTGGCTAATATATTTTAAAAATTACTTCGTAGTGTAGACAAAATTGCCACGCTTAGAAAGTGTGGCCATAGGAATTATTAATCTGGTGTTGTTAATGATAAATATTGCTCTAGAAGCCACACTTTAAAAGCGTAGTCTATAACGTGACAAAGATCACGCTTCAAATGTGTAGCCTTATGTCATAAAAGCGTGGCTATATGAGAAAATATAAGCGTGACCTTTGTACTCTATAGGCCATATTTTTAAAGCATGGCTTCTAAGGCAACACCTACAAAGCGTGGCCAATAGTCAAAGGTTACGGTACTTTAGGCCACCCCCAAAAAGCGTTGCCTAAAGCCATAAAGTTTTGCCTTTGACCAAATGCTACACTTCTTGGCATTTTAGGCCACACTTCTCAAGGGTGGTTGTAGGGTATTTTAGTAATTGATAAGTTTACCAAATAAGTTTACATTTTTTTCTATTTTAACTCCAAAACTCAAACCTATAACCCACTTTGTTTTTTTTTCCAAAACTTTTGTCGCAAACGTTAAAGGTATTTTGTGGCCTTCTGTTTTATTTTTTCTCCTAATTTGCTTTTTATTCAATTCTAATTAGCTGTGCTCCTTTGTTTTGCCTTCTTCTGCCTCACTCCTTTGTTTTGCTTTCTTAAGGTGTTTTGCCTCCTTGTGTTTTATTTTTTTAAAATTATTTTTATAGCATAATTTTTGATAAATTTAATATTTAAACAATTGATGCTATTATTGTAAACTTATCAGTTACAGTACAGTACAATACAGTCAAACCAAACAGCAAAATATTATTTAACAATAACAAACAAGACAATCTATCCAAACATTGTAATCATAAAATAATAGTACAATACATACAATACAATACAATATAATACATTATAAAACGGCGGAGAACAATGATCCAAACAGAGTGTTAGTGAAAGTGTGCGCTTTAAACACGCTTTCTTTCTAACAATAACCATCATCCATCTCCTCATTTCCGCCAAGCATCCTCCATTTTCACCCAAAAACCCCATATCGATCAAAAAATAATTACACTATTCCTAAAAAGAACTAGTAGCAGGACCGTGGGCGAAATTCGAAGTGAAAAACAGATTAAAAAAAAAAAATTGTAGTTCAAGTAAATTTATTTTTGTCCGAGTTGAGTGTGTAGTAGTGAAATGTCTCAATTGGAGTTGAGTGCATAGTAGTGAAATGCCTAATTTAGTTAATAGTTCTTAAAGTAACAATTTGTTAGAAATAAAATATTTTCACTGGAAAAAATCTTGTATTTAGTTTAAATTAGTAGATTATAAATTGATATAGTAGTGATAAATTAGACAAGTGAAGAACACAAGATTTACTAAGAATAATTTGTAGTAATTGTGTTTGTTGCAGTCTAATAGCTAGTTTAGTTTGTAATTTTTTGTAGCTTTAATTTTCTTGAAGTAAAAAATTATATAAGCTAAAAAAGTATTGCATTTAGTAAAATTAGTAGAGTATACATTGATTATTAATGTTAAATTTATTGATAGAGGAGTAAACACGCTTTTGTGAGAAATATTTGTGATTGTTGTGTTTGTTGAAGTGAAATAGATAGTTTAGTTAATTATTTTTGTAATACTAATTTTTAGAACTGAAGTTTTATTAACGGAAAAAAAATATTACACTTAGTAAATTTAGTAGTGTATAAATTGATATAGTAGTAATGAATTTGATAGTAAAAATTATACGTTTCAGTGAGCATTATTTGTAAAATAAATACTTTGTATAAAATATATTCTATAATGAAAATAATTTATAGTGAAAAATATAAGCTTTAGTGAGAATTAATTGGACTGAAACTTCTTTTACTAGACCTGGAAAAAGACACATGTTCTGTCTTTAAGTTATATTTCGGCGGTTTACTTTGCGTTTCACTTTAGAAAATAGTGTCATACAAAATTAAATTATATTTTTCATGTAATATATATTAAAATTGATCCAAACGAATACATAGTGACACAATATTATCGCTTATGTTACAACTAACCATGTTAGGAATGAGTTTAATCAACTCATAAGCTACCTAATGACAATTATCCGCATTTTATATATTTTTCTAATTTTTTTTGAATATTGTGTCATACATGAACCCTAGTCTGATACTGAACTAGAACCTTAATAATACAGAATATAACTTACATAAACCCTAAGGTAGGTAATAATTTACGTGAAAAAATAAAATGGGAACTTTCTTAATCTTCATCACTGTCATGTACAACCATGTATTCTTTTTCGCCAGCAACTTCTTCATCGTCCTATTCGTCCTGAGCTTCTTCCTCTGATTCTAGACCCCAATTATCATGTAGGTCATGAAATTTTTGGATAAAGCTAAAATCACCATAGACATGGTCTCGACAATAGTATGACACTCCATAGTCCAACGTTTGTGGTAAATATTTTGGAAGTCCTATCCATTCTTCAACTGTTGGATATACTGATATATTTGATTGCTATGCAATTTTGTATTTTCTAATACTGCCCAATGATTTTCTTCACTCCCCTATACCATGTTGAGTTCATCCAATGCATGAAAGGTGTCTAGTGTTGTTTACCCTTAAAAATGGATAACAATTGAATTTATACGCAGTTTTAAAGATATGTGGACTAATTCAATACAAATGATTAATGATGTTAGATAAGAAAACTAGGATGGAATAAACAGCCAAACCAGTGGTAATATTGAGTCGGGCTCGGTTATAAGCTTGACAAGTAGCCTGCCTTCGGTTCGGAGCCAACACTTATGAAGAACTTATGAGCAAAAGTATGAACTTTGAATCACTTTTAGAAACAGAGAAAACAGATGTATATTGCCTTGGTATGCATGTTATAGAGTGAGTATTGAATAATAAACTTTTCCTTTATATGGTAGGAGAGTTTTACCCTAGGTACAAATCTAAGAAAGGTAAAGATCTTCCTTTTCGCTAATCAGTGATCAACCGCCGATACAGGCCGAGATTCACGCTGTGATATCTGGTCGGGCACGGATACTACGACTCTTTGTTAATCGTGTGTGGACGTTTATCAATGCTTTCCGAGGTCTTGGAGTTCAAATTGGGTCCGGGGCATGGTCTCAATGGCTTCGGAGGCAGGTGTTTTGTTCGGGCCTTGATACGGGAGGTTCTCAGCTTTGATCTTGATTTCTTATAGTTACATCCTCGCTTCATTTGCCCCACCGGGAAATCGGGGTACTTATTAGCCCTGGTTTTTTCCGTACACAGATAGTCCCCTTATTTCTCGGAGAGTAGGTTCGCCAAAACAACGAGGAACGATAGATGTTCTCCGGTTCCTTCCTCCGTACGTTACAACAAAAATGACGAAAAAGTAAAAACGTCCCATCATATGCGTCGTTCTGACTTTGGGCACGTGTCAACCATCGACTGGTTACCTCCGAATGCGAAGCGATGCAAACCTCCCCCTATAAAAGCTTCTATCCCCTGTTCCTTTCCTAGTTTCCAAACAAGCTTCTACCTCTGAATTCTATAGCTATTATCAACATTCTTCAAAACTTCATATCATCATCCTTGATATTCAATTTCTCATAATTGTTCTTAGGTTTTTACCTAGATTTTCTTCAAATATTCATACTTTGTTCTTCATCCTTCAAACTTTTTCTTGCAAATTTTCGTATTCTTTCTTTAAATATTTAAACTTTCCCAGGTAACAATGGATAAAACATCTAAATCAGTTCCTCAACAAGTTGTCTCTTCATCTTCCCAACCGGCCGCCAGTGTGAGATGATTGCTCCTGAAGTAGTATCCCTCGAAACGATAGCTCCTGAAGTTGCTGCCACTAAACCGGCTCCCGAGCCTCCCTTAAAAAGTTTCATACCCAGGGGCTGTTCAATTGCAGACCACTTTAAGGTTGAAAAACCCTCATCCAAATAGGACCGGGGTGAAGGATCATCTAGGTAAATATGCTCTGTCACCGAAGACGTCCTTCTCATGGTCCGAGAGGAATGTAAATGTAAGGAAGGACGTAGTAGTCACCGAGCTTGAGGATACTATTACTACCCGCGTGGAGTGGTAATTAAGTGTTCACATTTATCCCTTCACGCTGGCCCGGTGGACCCAATCATTTTAGATTTTTGCAAGAGATACGAGGTGTGCCTCTGGAAAATCCACCAGTCTCTATGGAGGATCGTGATCCGCCTTCATTATTTTGTAAATAACACTGATTCTCACTGGTTTACCATCGACCACCTGCTCTATCTACACAGTCCCCGAATATTTTGACGGGGACTGATCAAACTTACTCGTCGAGCCAGCAAGGCCCTCTTTTTAAGCATCGACGAAGATCAAGACCGGGGCTGGTAGGGACGCTTCGTTCGGGTAAAGACCGAAGACTTGATCCCTCCTGAGTTCATGCCATTCCCTGAGAAGTGGAATGTATCTCGTAAGTGCAACCTCTCCTTAAGCATCAATTTTTTCTTCATTTTCTTTCTTATCATTCATACTTGTGGTTGTGTAGCTGTTGTCCTGGTTCTAAATGCGGCCCCCTGGCTTAAGTAGTGGATCGAAGGCATCTGCAAATAGATGTTGTACTTCAAGCATGCGTGGCCCAAGCTTTCGAATGACCGATGGGAGTCCCATTCCCATGGTAAGGTCCTCCTCCGAATAGTTATTACCATGCTTTTAACTTACATCATACTGACCTTTCTTCCTTATTTTGTAGGTTTGCCTAAGACCACCGAACATAAGCCTTTAGAAGGGGACGAGGACGTGTCCTTTTTCGT